AGGGTGAGAGAAAGGTAATTACAATTATAGGTCTTAATAAACCAACCGCTTGTGGCAGTGCCACGAGGGCACTTCCAGCCTGGCAGGGCTCAGGAGATGTAACCCATGTGCTTTTTTTCCCCCCCCCTGGGCTCTGAGACTGCGACACCAGAGGCGCTGCAAAACTTCCAGTATTTATCAAGGCTGGGAAATAACGCTCAGACAGCCTGTCTAGACAAAACCATCCTCTGAACATAGTGCACACAAGACTGCAATGGTTAGAGGTGGCACTGTCTCTGTGCCAAGTCCTGTCACCGCGTGACACCTTTTTGCAGCGGATTTGGACGCCGCTGGTTTCATGGCATGTCCCACAGGCCTCGTGCTGCAGGTCCATGTGTTCCCGGTGATTCCCCACAGTCACATTCACAGAGTCACCGAATCAGTGAGGTTGGAAAAGACTTCTGAGATCATCGAGTCCAACCTATGACCAAACACCGCCTTGTCAACCAGAGAGAGCACTGAGTGCCACATCCAGTCTTTCCTTAAAAGCTTCCAGGGACAGTGACTCCACCACAACCCTTCCAGTACCTAACCACCCCTTCCTGTGAAGAAATTCTTCCTGATGTCCAACCTAAACCTCCCCTGGCACAGCTTAAGACAGTCCCAGCAGCGGGGCAAGCCATTAAAAAGCGTTTTCAGGTCGACAGAACTGAGCACGTTAGCGATGCCGAGTGAGCACATCTCGTGGAAGGCCAGGGGTGGAACGATTTGCCACGTTCTCCACAGAAAGGGTTGGTTCTCGTGCTGGCTTAGCGGAGTGCTGGGTAAGCAGCTCTGGCAGCGAAAATCCCGCTGCCCTCAACAGTGTGGGTGACCCCGCTCCAGCTGAGGCATCCACGGGCAACATTCCTTCCAGCAGCCCTATTCGGGGCTCTTTTCCACGGCTGACGACAGGTAAATAAATCTAAACACTGATTTTTTTCCACAGCACCTCCACGCAGGGGAGCCGTGAAAGCTCATCGGAGGGAAGGTGTGACAGGCTGTAAGGGATGTGCCCAGGTGAGTCACGCCGTGAAACAGCGCGTGGTGTAATGGCCCTTCCCAAAGAAAACACGAGTGTTATAAACACCCTCGGGCAAAAACCATCAGCCTCGAGAGTGAGGCCGCATTCAGGCTGGGCTGCCATGAGGGGCAGGACCGGGAGGTGTGAGGGGAATGAGGCTGCCCTGGGCACCGTGAGGGGAGCACAGCTCAGAACTGCTGTGAGGGCAGCGGCACCGGGCAGCATGAGGGGCATTGTGATGGGCACTGCTTTGCCGTGGGTACTGTGAGGGGACACTGCTCTGCCATGGGCACCGTGAGGGACTCTCAGAAGCACCGCCCTTGCAAGGGCACCACAAAGGGCTGTGAGGGGCACTCTCCTGCCCCGAGCCCCCTCCAGCTCAGGCACCTCCGCTGTCCCACCCAGTGGCTTTGTGAGGTTCCTTTCGATGTGTTTTTACACACCCCACTCCCGCTCCCCGCCCGGGCCGTCCCCTCAGCGCGGGGGCGTCGGCTCGGGCGGCGCCCCCGGCCCCGCCCGCGGCGGAAGTGACGCCCCAATCACGGCCGCCCGCTCGCTCCGCCGCGAACAAAAGGGATTTTCACCCTCCGCCCCGCCCTGCGCGCCCCGCCCTCTCCGTCTGATTGGCTGTCCCTGCCGAGCCCCACCCTCTCCCCGCCTCCCTCGCTGCGGATTGGCCCCGGGGCGCGGCGGGCGCGGCGCTGATTGGCGGGCGGGCCGTCACTCAGGGAGGGGAGGGGCGGAGGGGCGGGGCGGCCGATGGGGAGCGGAGCGGCGCGGCGGTGGTGGCGGCAGTGGCGGCGCGGGGCAGGTCGGTGCGGGGCAGGACGGTGCGGTGCGGGGCTAAGCGGGTCCCGCCGCGGGCTCCGCTCTCGGTCCCGCTCGCTCCGGCCCGTCCTGGCGCGGCGTTGCGGCTGCGGGCGGGCAGCGGCAGGTGCGGGGCGGCGCGGGCTGAGGGAGGGGCGGTGGCGGGGCCGCTGCGGGCTGGGGCGGGGGCGGCCGCGGCTTGGGCGGTACCGCGGGGCGCGGAGGCCGCGGGGAGAACGGGGGGCGTTCCCGCGGGGGGAGCTGGGCCGGACCTGGCGCGGCGGGGTGGGTTGTTGCCCCCCACTCCTTCCCCCGGGACCCCCGGGGCCGCTCCCGGGGCCGGGGGAGCTCGGGGGGCTCCGGCTGCGGCTGCGGGGTGGCGTTTCCCTTTGTTTCGGTTGCACCGGCCCGGCTGTGCCGCTCGGGAGCCGCCCCCTCCCGGGGTGGCGGTGCCCGGGATGTGCCGCTGGAGCTGCCCCGTGTCCCGGGGTGACCCTCGTCCCGTCCCTGTGCCGGGGTCACCAGCGATCGTGTGGCAGGAGGGGGCGAGGCTCCCCCCCGGGCTAGAGGGGGCTGAAGGTCAGCGATGGTTTTGATTTTCCTTCGAGGAGCTGCAGAGGGGCTGTTCAAGGACTCACACAAAGCACACGCTTAAAATTTTGCTGATATTCTTCTTTTTCCCAGTAGTACTTCAAAATATAACAGTGCAAGGATGGGTTTTTTGGAGGGGTGAATGTCCTTTCTCCTATGAGATGGAGGCATAAACCCTTCTCATTTTTAACCTGATCCTCCCCAGTTGTGATGCAATGCCAGGTTAGCACCGTGGATGCACAATTATAAAGTGCATCTCGGTTGTTTTTTTTTTTTTTCCCTATTACATAAACATATCGTGTAATTATTGTAACGACTCGAACATCACGCTACACACGCAGCAGCAGTTCGGGGGAACTTGTCTATCAGGAGTTCCCAAACTAGTCATTTAGGTTCTCCTGGGAATGCCATTACACGACTGCCCGTGCTGGCTCCTGGAAAATATCAGCTCCTCTTCGGGGTCAGGCAAGAGAAAACGAAGCTGGGTTACAAACACAGAGGCGTTGTTGCATTGGCACAGCTCTGGAAATACCCTGTTTCAGAGGAAAAAGGAACAACAAGCTTTGTTCTTCATAATATTGCTTTAAGAAGTGGAAGACTTTTGAGCCAGGGGGTTTGCAGAGAGGATCTTGAAGCTTCCACCTGACGAGCTGCCTTCTCTGTGCCTCGGGCTGATCTTTGATTGCTGCCCTCTGCCTCCAACCTTCGCTGAAAGCGGGTGGGTGAAGTTCCCTTGGGCTGGCAACATTCTTTCACTTGCTTCGTGCTCCTGTGTGTGTGTGTGTGTGTGTGACAAGTGAAATGGAACCTGGGCTGGTTTCATAATCACCTCGCCGTGATTCAGGGCGAGGAGGAGCTGCCACGCTCTGGAAGCTTATCTGTTTTGTTCCTCAAGTGGCACATGCCAAAGATAACTCCCCCCTGGTTTGTTGGCTTGTGTGGTTGTAGCTACGTTTAAACCGCTCTTGATAGTTATTTTCAGTTAAATACCGGGAAATAACTTTCTTAGAAGAGTTTTATCTCCACTCACAGTCTGCTGGGGACGCTCTAATGGTCCATAGCTCACCTTTGAGCAAGCAATAAGCAATTCTCTTTGTTTATGCTCTAAACTCGGGCTTATTTGTCCAAAAATGGTGCTATATCTCAGGCTCAGGCAAAATATTTACACCATCAGACTAAATAATGAGGTCCTTGTGGTTGTGCTCTGGGATTCCACTCGGCCTGTTTTCCCTGGATGGGAAGGGGTAAACGTGCCCTGGGAAATGCTGGATCCTGTTTCTGGGGCTGGGAAACTCTATCTCCTGCTTAAAGGTTTGGAAGCAGAGGGTCAGGTTCACCAGCTGAGGCATCCAGATCCCTTTGGCAGAAGGGGGAGAACAGGGGGGTTGAGTAGGGTTGGTGTGTGATCTGTTAATAAGTGGGGAGAGGGAAGGCACAGGGATGTGCCTGATGTGATGCCGAAGGGCTGGGAATGGATTTGGGTTTAGATTTGGACAGGGGAGGAGGGGCTCAAATATGTGCTTATCAGCTCTTTGATCCAGAGATGCTTCTTGTTCTTGTAAAATAATAGCTTAGAATGACCAGAACTTTTTCCCCCCACACACAGTTTTCAGCTCCCTGGTGTTGAGGGGAACGATTGGGGTTGGGATTCATTCAGCATAGCAGGAATCTGCCAGGTGGGTTCTAGAAACTCCCTGTAAATTCCTGCAGAGTTACAGGAGCGTTTTAATGGGGTTTTTTTAGGGCAGTGACCTTGTTTGTAGCCTCTGCTGCCAGTCTATCCCCTCAGTGTGGGGTAAGTGGTGTAAACAGAGCAGTTAGAGGTCTAAAAGCAGCAGGTTACACGCAAGGAAGCTGAGGCTGCACCACTTCTGTACCTTCAGTGTTCCCTCTTGGTATAAATGATTGCCCTTGCAAACTGGCTCCTGCTCTTTATTTCTGTAAGTATTTTTACCTGTATATTTTAGGCCAGGGCTTGTTTATGTTATTAAGCTGATTAAAGGCTACAGGGGTGTGGTAAGAATAGCAGGGCTTATTCCTGTAACACTGGTGGGAAGTACAAGTCACAATGGGAGTATTTAGGATATAGAATAGAAATTATTACTGCCCAGACTAATAGCTTTTAAATGCCAAACTGCAGCTGGTTGGTAGCTCATGGAGAGATGCAGCTGCACATTTCCATGTCATCCCCTTTTTTAAGGGAAAAGCCTGGGCAGAGTCACGTTGGAAGCCCATGTTCAACACTTACTGTCCTGGGGTAGCACAGAATGAGATGATACACTTTGTTCCGAGATCTCAAAGGAAACTTCTCCTTTTTAGTTCTGGTTTATAATGCCAGAAAACCAGTATAACAAAGTTGTTTCCCCTCAGTACTGATTCAGTCTTGGCACCTGTGAATTTAATCTGAGCAAGGACTCAGGTGGTTTTGTGCATCTCCTGAGCAGATGTTGGGATATTCCACCTTTAAAAGGTGCCCAGGGAAGTGGTGCAGCTCAGACTTAAGCACCAACAGAAGCACAGTAAATATTAAAGGCTAAAAACAAGCCCCTTCTCCTCACCCTGCGTGGCTGCTTAATTAGTTGTAGCATTAATTTGCTGCTTCTGTTGCATTCTCTCCCTATTTAAGTTAATAAGCAAGTTGTAAATCACACTCTCCCCGTGGTGTCAGCGAGCCAGGATCCTCATGGTGACAGAACTGTCCAGCCATTCCTGAAACTTCTGGTCAGGTTCCCATCCTGGCCCACCAAAGTGTGATCTGGGTCAATGTAGTGAGTTAGGATCCTAAGTTACACCTTTGTGTCAAGTCTTGATCAGGCTTTTTTAAGCTGGTGACAGATTGAACAGGTTTTCCAAACGTTCCACTCGTGGCTTTTCCTCTTGAATATGTGGCTGCAATGCTGTCCAGTTAATGGGGTTTGGAACAGCCAGTCATGGTCACTTCCCCTGGTGTTTCTTGAGCAGCCCGTGGCAGTGGGAGGATGAACCAGAAGAGTCTGAGAGCAAGAAATGTTGCTGCTTTGTGGGATTTCATGTCAAACACTGCATGAAGCAAGAACATGAGCCTGTGATGAGAGCCTTCCCCGCTCAGCAGGAGGCCAGGGAGCACATTTCTGATTTCTCTTGCTGTGTGAAGCCACTTGCTCCTCTCTGAGCAGAACTTTCTGTTCCCCCGTGACTGGAAAACTGCTCTGGCACAAACAAGACAGAACTTGCTTTTGTGGAGAACTCTCCGAGGCACAGTTATGCAAATCAGTTGTAAAGGAGCAGTGACTTCAGACAAATTAGGCTTCAGTTGAATGTTTTAGCTGGATAGGCTTCTCCAGTAAAGGCCAGTTTAACCCTTTATCGCTTGCCACTGGAGTTTGATCTCTCTGAGAAGCTTCTTTGTGCTGTAGCATTTTCTGATTGGCATGAGGTTTGGTGAAACTTGGACTCAGAGAAGTGTATTGGATGGTTGTGCGAAGCACAAGGCTGTCTTGATGGGTATATTTGCATTACAGGCAAGGATTTAGTCCGAAATCATTTCCATTTTCAGCAAAATAATGTAATGAAAAGCCTTATTACTGGGCAACATTAAGTGTAGCAGCGAAGATGCAAGGGAATAAAAAGCTTCTTTAAGTGCAGTTCAGATGATGGATCTCTGTTCTTACGTAGGCAGTAAAATTGTATTTAATAAATGATGGTGATACTGAAGCATTGGAAAGAGTGCTAATTAAATGTGTATTTTCTGTGGCATTGATTTTTGTAAAGTGGTCTGGGCCCGTTCCATCAGGGATGGATAATGGCATTCCTAGGAATCGTATCTCAGCCCTGCAATATTCCCTTCACCATGGAGCTTGTGTGGGTGGCCCAGTTTGGCCTCCGTTCACCACAGCTCCTCAGTGGTGTTTGCAGCTGGGTGATCCAGATGTGTCATTCACAGCTTTTAAATATCCAGGTTTTTCCCCCCCTCCCACTTTCCTGTTAACTTTGGCTACTTCTTGGTGACTCTCTGCCCTCACCATCTGGGTGTGCATATGTTGGTGTCCCCTGGGAAAAGGTGGCAATGCCTCTCCTACAACTGGCGTTGGAAGCTGGAGAGAAAAAGATCCCCTTGTATATTGTTCCCTTCATCCCCCTCGGGGCAATCTGCAATCCGAAATCTGGAGAGCTGAAGTCAAATGGAGATTATATGTCATAGCTTAGAATACTGATTTTAATGTCCAAGGGAACACCTAAACTAAACCCTGTTCCTTTTTTATTTCAGGTTTTCAGGATGAATCTGGAAAAACTCAGCAAACCAGAACTACTGACGCTCTTTAGCATTCTAGAGGGAGAGTTGGAAGCAAGAGATCTTGTCATAGAGGCCTTAAAGGTACGTTGTAAATACCAGGATAAGAGGCAAAAATGACATTCTGCTGTAAGTTTGCAGAGCACTTGTATCCAAGGTGAAATTCGGAGGCAAAGACTTATCACTGGCTCAGAATCCCACCTTAATATCAGCAGGATTACATAATAAATGCTGTATTATCCCCCATGCCTTGGAATTCATGATGGGATGCTGGCTAAAGGAGCATTTCAGTGTTGAAATGCAGCCTTACCTGAGTGTTCCCAGCCTTCCCCAGGAAAGATCCACGTGTTTCTGCTGTGCAGGAGGGTCCCTCACAATTCCTTTGTTGGTTTTGTTCTCCCTTAGCGAGGAAGGACCGCTTAAAGCAGGAACTCTGCTGGTCCAGGAGGGATCACAGATCAGCCTTTTAGTGAGAATAGCGTCACACCGAGTGAAAAGCACCCGTGGCTTTGTGTTGCCTAAGCCCCCATAAGCTGGCACTGCTGAGAGCAGCAGCCCCGTGGGCTCAGCTGCTTATTCTTTCTCCCTTTGCTGCCACAAGCATCAGTGTAGCAGATTCCTCATTCCAGTGAGGCAGAAACCAGCTAAAACTGCTCAAAACCGGTCAAGTTTAACCCACATCGGTGCAGGTGACGTGGTGGGGCCTCTTCTTGCAGGGGTTGCTGGTGGTGCAGGGGAAACTGGCTGAAGTCGTGTGGTCTGTGGTGCTCCCTGGCCAGCTTGTTGTGTTACTATCAAGCCTGGAAATTAATTTTAAAAATATACAGTCCGTGTGTGACACGGCTGCCCTTTGAAGGAGGCCTGGTTGGCACTCAGCACCATCAGTAAGGTGGAAAAAAAAAAAAAACCAGTGGTATAAATGATGGAAGGGGTCAGTTTTTGAAGCAATGAGTTGTGGCAGGGTCGAATATTGAAGGCTCTTCCAAGCTGACCTGTCACTGCTCATAATGTTTAAAATTCCCAGCTATTTCCAAAGAGGGATGGCAGCTTGCAGGCCTGGGAGCTGCAGGGCTTGGCTTTCCAGCAAAAGCTTCTGGAGCTCGATTCCAAACACCTTTTAGGGAAGTTGAGGGATGTCCTCTGCTTATGTTTGTTGATGATTGCTTTTGCATTTAAATAATATTTTCATTTTGGAAGTACATCTTACCCTCTCAAAACTATGCATCAGGTGGAAGTTTTAGCTGCTGTCTTGAAAGAGATTTTTTTCTCCTCTGTCCTGGGATCCGTTTTCTCATTCTGTGTGGTCAGAATTTGTTACCCAAACAAGCTTCACTTTAATATTTCAGTGTGAAATGCGTGTAATGGAGCACAGGGAGACCGATGGGAAGGAATGCAGCAGCTCCATTCCAGAGGCTTTTTACTGCCTCCCTTCCAGTGTAAAGCAATTATCTCTTCTGTTGAAATTTAACCTGCAGTTCCCTCTTGTGTGAGGAGATTAATACAGTCAGAATACCCTTTGACATAATTTGTCAAGTACTCATAACTGAGAAGAAATTAAATGAAATTGTAACCTATGCCTGATAATTATGGAGTATAAAACACCGAGCTAATCAAAGGTTAGTGCTGTTTCCCCCTTCTTCTGTAAAGGATATGCTGCAGTGTTTCATCTGGAGATTGTCAGGAAAGCTGGAGGTGGGAGGACAGGGCAGGGAAAGCTTCGAGTCACGACTGGCTCTTGCTGCCTCCTGAGCGTGAAAATTGCAACCCCTGAAAACTGGCCAGTGCCTGCAGCAGTGGGAGATGCTGCAGATCTCCAGCTGCGCTGCTCCTCACATCCAACAGCTCAGTTCCCAGGGATGCTGCATCCAAAGCCCGGCTTCCTGCTGGCAGGAGCCGGCGCTGCCCTTTCCATACGTGGAAGGAAAAGTCGTGTCACTGCTTGATCCGCTGGCTGGGCAGAGGTTCAGCAGCAGAGAGCTCCAGGCTTTGCTTTGTCCACTTATTTGGAATACAGAGCTGGAGAAATTCTGGGGGTTTGTTGTGTTTTTCTCGTTGTTTGCTGATAGTAGCTGTGGTAACAGCTTTACCCGGGCCTTCCTGGCTGAAGAGTTTGATTGGGTGTGACTAATTAAAGGAAACCTTGCTAATCTGTGTGCTCACGTTTTGATACATTTAAGTGCTGCCCTGAAGAAAAAAAAAATAAACACCTTTTAAGACCAAATTAAAGATTGAAGCTCTGAGAGCATTTAGTTTAACTTGCATATATTGGACAAATTGAGCTGTAATTTGCACTGAGAGAGGAGATGGAACACCCAGGGCTGGGGGAAGGAATTGCCTGACTGTGATCTCACAGCTCTCTCTGTTCCCTAAGTGTTGTGGACATTATATCCTGCCTCAGCTGCCAAGTTTCTTTGGAGGAGTGATAGTTTTATGTGAAGTGCAGGTATATGTGGGGGAAAGGTGGAGTTCAAACCTCTGAACTTTATTAGGGGATTACACGACCCTAAATCACGACAAGTGATTTTCTCCAGCAGTTACATTAAACCCATGAATGTCAGCGGTTGAAAATCAGAATTTTATCTGCCCATTGACTTCCCACCTAGCAGCAAAAATGCATTTCCCTTCGTGGGCTAATTTAACTCCTAGTTCAGATTTAAGTGCTTCTGAACTCTGGCTGTCTGAGGCAAATCCTTTGCTACATAATAGGAGAGGACAGGAACTTGCAGGGGGAAAAGCATCTCCATTTGTAAACTTGTAATTTGATTGTGATACAGTCTGCAATAATTGATACTCCTGCACACTCAGAGACAAACATTTTGCATCTGGCATTTAGCAGAGGGAATCCATGCCTGCAGATGACAAAGCTTAAAATAGTTTTCCTCTCCCTCACGGTTGGTTGGCCCTGGCCCTGCTTCTCTCTGGGTCAGGGGTTCCACTTGTGCCCCTTTGCTTCCCTCCCTCCCCAAATCTTGACTCTTTCTTCCTCCCTGCCTTCTCTGTGGATGTCTCTTCACACCTCTCCGTGTTCTGGGGTGGAATTTTAACTCCTGGGATGTGTTTGCTGCTCCCAGAGCAGTTGTTAGGTCACCTCTAACTGATGCTTCCAGCACATCATGGCTTGCCCTCCCTGACTTGTGGCCCTCAGTGCTCTTGTTTTTTCCTGTAGTTGGCTTTTTTCTTGTGTTTTTGGAGTGCTGGCCGTTCTACTAAGGACAATCATCTCTCCCTGTGAACCAGGTCTTGCCTTTTGGTGTCCGTTTAAAATTGTAATATTACTTCAGTTTCAGCAATTATTTATTCAATAGTTGTATGAAGTGAGCAAGTTTACTGTGTTCAAAATACCCTTTCCCAGTACTTCAGTTTGCTTCCTCTATTTTAAAATCTCTTTGGAGAAAAAAAAAACCTTTTTTTTTTTTTTTTTTTTTTTTTTTTGCCTGGAAGTGGCTTCCTGTCCACGACATAAATCTCAATGTTCTCCTTGGAACAGACCTTAAGTCTCACTTCTTATTGTACTCCTTTTCCTGTAGTTATAATTGTGTTTATATCATCCAAAAAACCCCAGATGCTGTCAGAGAATTGCATAATACTGGGAGTTAGACTCTGACTCCTTATTGCTGTGTGGAAAGGACTGCAGGAACCACAGGTTCATCTTCTGAAATAGCACACCACGACTGGAAACAATTCAATATTTAAATGGGTCTCAGGTGCTGTGTTAGAGCACTTTGTTCCCTGCCCCCCTGCTCTTTAAAGAGGATTTTCCATACATTAGGACTGAAGTTCTGTTTACTTTTAGAAAACAGGAAACAGCTTTCTGGCTTTTTCTTTTATGTTAATAAGGCCTCAGGCAGTTTACACTGGAATAGAAACTATTTTGTGTTAATGACTGGGAGCTGGTGTTCATCTCTTTGCTTCTGAGTTCAGTGATTCACTCTAGAGCAGCATCAATGCACTGCAAAATTGTGTTCCTTTGTCAGTGGATTTAAGAGCCTAAAAGTTCACAGAGCAGTTTCAAAACCTGAAGTTCTACCTCTTGTTTAAATAGAAAGAAAAGCTCAGTAACACAAAACCTTGCTGCAGATGCTGGTAAATCTTTTACAGATGGGGCAAATTGGGCTTTTGCATCGCTTGGAAAGCAGCTTCCATGGAGCAGCGTTCCCAGGGGTGCTGTCCTGCTGGAATGCAGCCCTTCCTCACAGCTCTCCTTGCAACTTTCGGGGGAGTTTTTTGTTTATTCCCTGCTTGAAGCAGCACAGTTTGCCAGGATCTTTCAAAACAAACTGATTCTTGTCACCTTCTCGGTGCCTAGGAAGGTGCTGAACGGGGAGCAGAGAGGTGTGGGAATGTTTTAGGGGTGACCAAGGTGCAGTCCCCGAGCGTGGTGCCATCCCTGCATCATCTGGGAGCTGGGCACAGCCAGGCTTCACACTCTGGACCAGGAGCCGCCAGAGAAAGAAACTGCAATTTTATGCTCTTTGACATTTCCTGAGCAAAACTCCTTATCTTCTTCAAAGCTAATAACAGGCCCTGCGTGGGTTAAACGTGGGCAGCTCTGGTTTATCTGGTTTGTTCACTCGGTGTAATGATGGCAATCAAGGCAGAAGCTGCATTTGAGCCCTTTGCTTTGTGGCTCTGTGCTTGGCACTGCTGCAGAGCTGGAGCTAAAGCAGCACTGGGAATCCCACTCCAGCATTCTTTGACATTTGTTTTTGTGCAGAGCAAGTGGTCCCCACCCCCCCTTTCCCTTCTCTCTCCCGTCAGTGGTTGCTGTGACCTCAGCCTGTCTTTATTCCCAATATCTGTCTCTGGGGAGAGAAGCTAATAAGGAAGTTCAAGGCAGCAAGAAGCTATTTAAAGATTATTCCACTCTCTGCTGCATGAAGGAGGAACTTCTGTGCAAATTGTTACTGGAGAACTGGATACACAGTAGCTACAGTTAATTAACAGCGTGTTTGCCTTGTGCTGATGAACTCTGAAATTACAGGCAAGAGGAATATACTCTACATTGTGTCCAAAAAAATACTTGAAATAAGTCTTGGAAATTCCCTGTTTGATGTTCCGGTAGAACGAGTTGTAAAGATTATTGA